CGATGTACTGGTGTAGCTGACGCATAGCCTGGACGCGACGCTGGAGCTTCTCGATGGACCAGAGATGGATCACACATTGCTTGAAGTCGATGACGCGGATGGCTACGCATGGCTTCCTAGCGTCATCCAAGACAACGTCCTCGTCTCCGGAGATACCGTTCAGTACGAGGTCATAAGACGAGGCCATGTTGTGCCCATGATCGATGATTGCAAACTGGAATACAACGTTCTTATCCATGATCTGACTCATGACCTGGGCTTCCTTTAGCAGCGACGCGTATTGCAGCACCTTCTCGGCCATGCGAACGTAGCTCTGCTGCGACCAGTGGCGGTAAACTGAACGTGCGACCTCGAGTTCCCGGGCGTCGAGTTTGGCAAAGCCATTCTCATAGACTTTGGGTACCGGTTGGCCTAGATCCTTCATGTGAGACTCAAATGCTTCCTTTTGCTTCCTGAGTTGTTCCTCAAATTCCTCTTTCGCTGTCCGTAGGGCTTCCTCCATCCGGGTCTTTTCAGAGCGGAGGTCTTCAACGTCTTGACTGGATGATGTCTCAGCATTTCTCAGTTTGTCTTGGTATTCTTCTTTCTGCCGATCCAGCTGCCGCTGCATATCCTCGCGCACAGATTGCAGAGTCGCATCGGTTCCACTCTGTGCCTCATCGTCATCGTTGGGACGAGGAGTCCCGGGCATCGTGATGGCAGTATCCAACGAGAAGTTGTCGATAGTACCGTTTGACATGTACTTGTCTCGTACGGGAAAAGAACTCAACGAGTCAGAGTCCTCCTCATTCTCCGCCAGGCCCCGGCGTGTAGCCCTGACCTTCTGCACATCCTCAAACAAGGCGTCCAGCTCATCATCAGGCATATGCGAGATGTGATCGGGCCCCAGTACAGCGCTGACGGCTTCACGGCGAGCATAGAACCAATCGGATTCCCTGCTGGGCTGCGACGGCATCGGTGAATCGGCCCTACTCGAGTCGCCATCAATTTCCGACCCGGTTTTGCTCACATTGCGGTCATGGGTTTTGTTTGGCGCGGGTGAGCCAAGCTGGCTTGTGGTGACCGTATGACGCAGCAAACTTTGCTCGACTCGTTCGGCACGGGCCTCTTGCGGATGGTTGAAGCGGAAGATGTGGAAGTCACCCAGAATAATCCGAAACCCACTTTTCAGGCGCTTGGGTTGATCGATGCGCAATCCGTTCACCATAACGGCGGCGCCTTCGGTGGGGATGATGGTGACAATGTTGTCCACGTTCTCAAACTTACAGTGATCGGCCATGATCTTGGATCCGTTCAGTCTGATCTCCACATGGCTGCCCTGATCCATATTGCCAACCATGGTGGTTCCTGGTTTGATGTTGTACACAAGGCACTCTGCGAGTAACGGATCGTCACTGAGATTGACCAAATGAGGCATCTTCTTTGGTGTACTGAGGCCAATGAAGCCCTTCTCAATACTGATTCCAAGCTCCTCCAAGGCTGTTTCGCGCTCCTTGTGGATCTGCTCGGTCTTGGCCATTTTCTCCTCCCACGTCTGGTTCAAGTCCTTATAAAGCTTCTCACTCTGGTTCAATTGCTCCACAATCTCCGCCTTGCTGACTTTGGTGACTGAGCCATCCGCCTGATGGATCGAAACCATCTGCTTCTCCAGAGGCGTGTCTGGGGGATAAGATTCCTCGGGTGGGATGCCGTCAGCGGCAGCGGGGTTGCCAGCAGCTGCGCCGGCCATTGCTGCTACACCACCACCAAGCTTCGCTCTCAGCTGCGCTAATTCTTCCTTCAATTCTCTGATCATCCGTGCATTGGGGTCCTCGTTCACCACTGCGTGGTTCTTGATTCGCTTGGCCGAGTCTGCATACCGTAAAGTACTCAGAGTCTCATCGAAGTTGATATCGGCAGGTGAGATCGCAGCAATCATCGCCGTCATGGAGTTACCTCCTAAAGAGTCCTTGAGCAGCCATGTGAGGATAGAATCACGATACGGAACCATTGAAGCATTCTTCTTCTTTCCAGAAGCCACATCCGCCAGGGCAGCAATGACCCGACCGAGGGTGGACAGCGATCGATTGATTTCAGCACCTTCCTTCAACCGCGCGCCAGTGGCTCCCGTCGAATTTGCTCTTTCCGAACCCGCGAGATCGACCAGACTGATTCGGGAAACCTTCTCGGTGTCCATCGAGGTTTCGGCATCATGGCGCTTTTGCGTAAGGGTCAAGGTGAACACGGCGTGCGATCGACTGGACGTTTCGTTCATGTTTGTCGCCGCCACCGTTCGGGCCTTGTTACCCTCGTCCATCAAATTGTCGATTTCATCGAAGGAGCGCACGACCAGTTTGGCCAGGTCCTCCACGTATGGACCTGTGGACGGGTGCTCGCGGACCTTGAGATTCCCTTTGTTCGAGGGATTGAGCAGATCGCGGACTCGCTCGTTGTAAATTTCGAGATAGGACACTTCGACGGTACAGCTAAGGTTTTTGTCTTGTTGGATGGCAGAGATGCGCTCGAACATGGACTGGCAGATCCGAGGAATGACACCATACTCCTTGCCATAACCCATCATCGAGTACGATTTTCCGGAACCCGTCTGACCGTAGGCGAAGATGCAGTTGTTGTAGCCCTGGAAGGCATTGTCCAAAAGGGGCACACCCAAGTCACCGAAGAGGTTGTCCTGGCTTGCGTAGTTCGGGGCATTCTTGTCGAAAGACCAGTACGACCTGTCGAAGGCGAACGCTTTCGGCCCTTCCACGGCACCTTTCCCCCCGGCCTTGCGTAGTTTGTCGTCGGCACCAGGAGGCGGGATGAGAACCGTTTGGTTCCCTTTCATCTGAATAATACATTTTGCATTTCGGTCGAGCTCTAGATGACGGGAGAGAAAGATGGGCCAGTCAGTCGAAGGGTCCAGGAGTATGTGCGAGTCCACTCCGTCGCATTCGCCCTTGCTGTTTTTTTTTCTGCTCACTCACCTCTGCTGTTGAACGGCCGTACTCGGACCACCACCTTGATATTACCCATCTTGGCCTAACTCCCACCGACGGGGGATTCCTTTCTTTCGGGGATTTCGTTCCGCTTCTTGTCGTTATCGATACACGGGGGGGGGGGGGGGGGTGTGACAGGGGTAATTGTTGAACAGTACAAAGCGGGAAACACAAAAGTCGCGAACGCTACAAGGAGCGCCGCCCTATGATGTTTCGCAAGCTGGTGTGTTTTTTTGGCCCGGGACCGCGGGTGATTGCTTCTAAGCTCGGGATTCGGGGTATGGAAAGGAGTCACTGGAAGATTGACAGACAAAGCCGGATGTCAACAAAGACGTCATGTATTGTTGCGGGCGAATCGTTTGGCGCGTCTTAGGGGTAGTAGGATCGCAGTAAACATGGACGGTTCAGCGGAAGGGGAGTCGACTGCAGTGCGACAAGCAGACCGGAGCGAAGAGGAGGGATTCACCGAGCAGCGATAGTCTCGAAGGTTCGAACAGGGAGGAGGGGAGAGGTGGAAGTGTTATTGCATTGATTTATCGGATCGAGGTCCGAGGGCTGGTAGACTGGACTGGACTCGACTGGCAAAAACGTTCTTGGGTTCTTCTTCACCTTTCAGTTCGTTGCCCCCCAAGCACAAGCACAAGCACAAGCAGCAGCAGCAGCAGTAGCAGCAGTCACTTAGCAGCAGCACGGGACGGGGAAAAGCCACACTATGAGACGGGGCGGGTTTCGAGGGCGATCACGTAAGCGTCCCTGTGATACTTCCGACCAATCATATCTCGACCTGGTCTCCCTGGGAGCTTAGTCATTTATCCCTGGGCTTGCTAGCAGTCACTAAAAGTTGGTTCACTTACTGAGTGGTGAGTATTCCATCTTCACCCATGCATTCATCTGCAGGCACACATTCTTGAATGTGTCCTCTCGACATCATGATTTGCTTTCTCCAACATAAGGTGTCTGATAGATCTGGTGCTTCCAGGATCGTTGCGTTGTAATAGGCTCATGGTGGACTACCCTCTGCTGCAGTTCCACCGGTTCCAGAGATTATCCGCTCTCCACTGCAGGGCTTAGACTCGGCTTGAACTAGATAATTGATAATGAATTGGTAGAATGAAATGAAGGTACAGTGATTTCTTCCCTTATCAGCATGAATAGTAAGATCAGAGAAAAAAAGTCAGGGGCTATGCTCAGCTGCAAGTTGTAGCCACAATTCCTCTCGGGTGCTCTACGTACGTCATTTGCTCTCACGTTTGTTAACGGTGGTTGTCTGCCCAACCCTTCATAAGCCCTCGGAGTATCTTTTCCAAACAAGCCCCTCCTGACCCATGCGGCCTGGTCACCACACCAGTCTTCGCCAAAGGGAGGGCGACTGCGGGGTCAGGCTGTCTCTTTGTTTGTAGCTGAGAGAATGTTCTCTTAAGTAGCCATCTAATCCTTTCTGCCTCACCCCGCCTTGTCGACGCAATCAGGCAGACTTGGATATGCAATAACAACTATGGGTTATAGACTTCCCGCCCAAGAGAACTGGGTCAGTCGGACTGTTGACTGTCTGGGTCCGCAGGGACAATCAGTTGTGCTTCTGGCTTTGTTCTTCGTTGGCCGTAGGTCAGATACGCGTAAGACTAGTAAGACTCCAAGATGGGTATAGATCACGATTATCGCTGTCACCTCCGAGGCTCGGAGCGACAATCAGGGAAGATTTCCTCTTCGTTTTGACCTGAACGTCTTGAGCACACATAGGTCTTACAGGCGGAGTCCCGACCATGATGCATCAGTTTATCGCATAACCTAAGAAACCAGTACAGCGCGTACCTCCTCTGATGCCAGTGATCCAGGCGGACTTGATTCAGGCGCTGGTGATGCGAGGTATATGAGAAAGGTACTATTACCATCAGCCTCCCTGATTGCTTTCGATTTGTAAACTAGGTTTGCACGAATGCTGCATGTACAGCTGAGCAGGATGCGGTGGATCGGTTTGTTAAACCTGTAAGAGAGGGACAGGTAGCCGACGGTAAGGTACCAGAATCGTTGGCCTCTAACAAGTCTAGTGGAGGCATATCGCTATCCAATAAGCACCATTCCTCTCCTCAAGCAACGTAGCAGTCACTTATGTAAACATGCATTGGTGAATCGCGGCCCCGTACTGAATGTCACCCTGCGGAGTCTACTCATACTAAGCAGCTGGGATATAACACAGGAATGACATTTTCCTTAAGAAGAGGTACTTTCTTCTACGAAGGGTACCATATTGGGACATCCTACTAGTGATTCTGCCTTGGACAAAATGCATCGCATCACTGATGCTGTGGTGAATCGTTGCGGAAAGAGTCATCAGTACCATTCTTTGGACCAGACTCAAAGGTACCAGGGCCTGTACTCCGCTCCTGGACGCTATGTGTCATCAAGCCTGATGTGTCGGCCCCTCTATGAAAGAGTTAATCCCCGTTCTTCATCCATCATGCATCTCGTCAAAGGCACTGGGGCGAAGGTGAGCAACCTCACACGAAGAACTCTCTATCTGAAGAGAAGAAGGTTTGCCGGCACAACTCAGAGTTCAGTGCATATCACACAGAAGTCTCTGGAAGCGAGCACAACCTCACAGCGCTGGAACTCTCCTCGATGGAGATCATCAAGGTGGTATCACTGCTCATGTGAGCGCTCTGTGAACCTCTGTATCTTACCGAATTGTAGTCCAGCGGGGAGGATGACTCGAATCATCAAAAACCCGGTATCTGGAGTGTAGCATAACACAGCCTAGCGAACCGAATCGAGGCGGGACAGAACTGGCAGGCAATGCCTAGTCCATGGCCCGGGTGGCCAATGGACCGGCCCATGGAAACGTCATATCTTAGCAACCCATCCTGTCATTGCACACAGCAGCATGCAATCGTTCCATTTGGTGTTTATGGCTGGACGCCCATTCTTTCGCTCCCCCTTGCAAAGGTCAGTAGCTGGCTATTGTTCAACCTGACGCCTCAATTGTGCGATGCAATACTTCGGTCTGATGATGATCATGTGTAAGGGGCGTTCGCTCAATGAGCCTTTTGAGATGGAAGGGTTGCGCTCGTGAAGCGTACACTGCATCGATCAGCATAACCGATTGACGAGTAGGAATTTGTGCTATGCGTTCGTAACTTGTTCCTCAACTCTCCGGGAGGAGCCATTCTACTACCTACAATGGCAAGATTTACCAATATGGCAGTCAGCCCCGGAGCAGTGTATTGAGTGAAGTAGCGCTGAATGTAGACTCGGGTGACAAGGTTCATTGCACTTGTAGACGTTATGAGGATCGCTGTACAAATGGTCTAAACCACCTGGGTCGGCGGAATCTTCGCTCCTTGCCTCCGCGCAGCAGTTCTTCGATTGCCTTTCAGGTGATTGTGCGCGGGTTGGCTTGTGTAGCACAATGGGCCATAGAGCCGTCACAAGAATCCCATGGTGTCGAACTGAAATAGTGTTCTAAAAAGATTATGATCAGGTTGCTGGTTCGCGTACACATTCTCCCCTATGTAGAATCAAGCTGAGCACATGCTCGTGATCCACGGATGGCTCCATATGTTATGATATCCTCGATCTTGACGAAATCTTTTGTGTTTCAGAAATGAAGACTACCTTAATCCCTGTGATCGGACTCGATTGATTGTACTGTCAAGGGTATACAATCTTTCGGCGTGGCCCCATCTCGTGTCTTTCCGATTGCGTGTATGACAGCAAGGTATCTCATAGGGCGCAGTCGATCCGATAGAATGGCCGGACAAAAGGTAAAGTGTCGATCGGTCGGTCACGCTGTTCTTCCACTGCGAGACTCAAGTCAGGCCAGCAGCTTCCGCCACCCGACAGTTTAATGAGAACACCCATTGACACGGAAACACGGCAGTTTCAAAACACGATGTTGGCGGAAAGTCAAATAGAAAGGCTCTCCGCCACGTGAGGGAGCAGCCGATGGCATAATTTGCCCGCTATAGGGCTTTAGGACCTACAGGCGCACTGCCATGGGCTGCATCAGAGGATCTTGGCGGGTGATGAATAGGTTGAACTCACAAATATACGTTTCTTGTCATCTCGAAAACAGTAGAACTAGTCGGCATTGCTTGCTGGGGAGGTCGGCTAAATTCAAATCAGAGAGCGCGTTCTTGCTATGAGCAGTAGGTCAATGGTTAGATCTATCTATAGGCAGCACAGCTGGCCAAGTATGGGTAGCTTATGTTCGTGCGACCAAAAGCTAACTATGTTACTTGATGTCATTGTATAGCATCCCGAAAGATTGGTTAGTGGAACCCTCCGCAGCGCTTGGTCTGTCTTCCGGCCTAGCACTTTCTCGCCTATGTGGGTTACACTTCGATCTGGGCAAATTCAAGACTGTGCAAACCTCGCTAGCTGAATACGGCCAGAGACGCGGAGGGACGATCGAGCGGAACGTCGATGGGATAGTCTAGAGCTTGATGATTCACAATTGAAAACATGCCCAGCTACTCGCTCACTGCTGTTTGTGACCAAGATGGAGCGGTGTGGCGGGGACTGTCACCCACAGCTGCCCTGACGTCACCTGGCCAGAGCTTAGGTGGGTGCTTTTTGCTAGTTTGCGCCAGGCGGTCAAGCTTCACACGTGGTATAGAACAGACCAGCCTAACAATCCACCCTCTATTTCACTAGCAATCACGATGGTGTGAAAATCCAAACAGGCCCGAGAATGCGGAGAGTTTTAAATGTGACTGGGTTCTTTACGATGCTTGTGCAAGGTGTTTGGGTGCTCCGAGTTAGGATTGGACCTGATCTTCCACAGTAGGACTTGAGCCTCCTGTTAGAACGGATGTATATATTTTCGGACTTGGATAAGACCATCCGCAACATGACGTCCACTTTAGCAGCTGTACGGACTAGAACGACAACAAACTGCAGACACAGCTCCGCTACATATGTGACATACTAGGACAGTTCCGTCACTTTGTTAATAGTCGTCCAACCCAAGAAATTTGAGTATGCGAGCTCTCTACGTTCTCCTCTCATCGAGTATCGGAACAATCACGTGATTGTATATTCGCCTCGAGATTCCCAAACGATAACTATAGATTTTGGGACAACAGTAGTATACTATGGACGGAAGGGCGCTTAGAGGCCCACGGTAGTCACGGTTCATTGTCCGATTGTTGGGTGTGCAACCACAATATGCGATAGCGGACCACGGTCGCGTCGGAAATTTGATTAGAATGTGATCCAGCGCTTGGTCGAGCGCTAGTGATTTCCCAAAGAATCGTCGCATCCTGCAAAAAGTGAAAGAAAGAAAAGGGAAAAGGAAAAGTTACAGATGCGAGCTGTTACAAGCTTATGAATCTTGTCCACAATGCGCATAGGTATAGTCATACTTCGCTTCTGCTGAAGAGGTCTGCAGCCCGCAGTGGTAGGTAGATAAATAGATAGATAGAGAAACGAACGAATGCGCTCGTGCTTGCATTTTCCTCTGATTATTATTTTCCGAGGTGTCTTTCCTGAAGGGGAGATATAACCGAGATTGGCCATGGCTCCTCGATGAACTCCGCTGACGTCTGAGCGCACTGGCCAGTAGCACACCACCGTGCGGCGTATGGTAAGAAAAGCAAGAAAACGGCCGCGCTTACAGAAGGACGGACAATCAGGGTGACTTCACGGCTCAGGTCGCATGGTGCAGGATGCACGTTCTGGCTAAAGCACTGCCTACAGTAGTTGGTTGTTTTGAATAATGCTAATGCTAATGCTAATGCTAATGCGAAGATTGACGCGACCAGCCAGAGCTCTCGATGGAGAAGTCACACATAATCAGAGTAGTACGTATTTAACCAGGTATTAATAAGAGACTCCCATGTCAAAGAAACAGGCGCTGGTCCAAGAGGAGACGACGCCAGCAGATCTTGTTCTTGATCATCAGCACCTGGCTGGCACTGGCAGTCAATACTGTAGCTACATACTGCCTGGGGTGGCTGGTGAAATTGAAGGTCGGCCACCATCCTCGGTCTTACAGTTTTTGTTCGATTCCCGAGGACGCTTGGCCCGGTTGGGTCACACCTGCTGAGAGTCACAAAATGAGCATTCGGGATGGCCGGATGCTTTCCAGACTGGGCGGCGAAGAAACCCTGTTCCTGGGTAGATGGATGGTGAACATAAGGGCATTTTAGTTTATCATTTGAACAGTTGGCTTACGACCAGATCAAGACGCAGACGCTGTTGACAGATAGATAGATAGATATATAGATAGATAAATAACATTGATCAACTGAAATTGTTGATGAGCCTGCACCCAGCCTTTAAGAGGAGAATTAAAAAAGCAACTAACTTAAGGAACTGCAACTGTGTGGGTGGGTGGGTGGGCGGGCGAGGGTAGTGGTGGTGGTGGTGGTGGTTGGGGAAGATACAGGTGGTAATTTCTAGTACGGGTAAGTAATGACGGTCAGTGACGGACCGCCTTACCTAAGACAGGTTAAACCCGATGGAGCGAAAAACCCTGGAGGCGACCTTTGTTGGAACTGGAAAGGTTGGAAAGTCGACGAAGCTACCGAGCCAGTCAGCTCCCCTTCGCAACTGCGGCCGGTACAAATGCCCCATCGCTCGCCCCTTCCTCTCGCTGCGGCTTTCTCTCTCTGCTCACTCTCGTTGGTCATCCAACCTCTCCAGTCCTTGCGTGTCCCCCCTCCAGGGAGTCCAGTCAACCCCCCCAGTTGGACTGTTCTTGTCTGCCCGCACAGAGCCCATTGAGCCCATTGGTTTCAAGGTTCTCTGCTCTTTTTTCTTTTTTTTCCTACTCGCTCCTCCCTCCAGCCTGGGTTGGCTTCCCAAGTTCAAACCCATCACCCATCTGGTCTTTGTCCAACCCAATCGTCGTTTGCCCTTCCCACCCCCATCCGCTCTCCTCTTGTGATTGATCACTTCCCTCATCTCTCTTCTGCCTTTACCACGGTTGTGATCGAATCACCATCTAAGGTACGTGAACACTATCACTTTTTTTTTTTTTTTTTCTCTAAACAGTTCAATACCATTTTCCATTCCCCATCCCATACATACCCCTTGCTCATAGTTCTTTTTGCATCGTGAATTTGTGATCACCTATCTTATTTTCCTCTCAATGCCTCTGATTGCATCACCTTAATCTGGTTGACGCCCAATCCCGTTACACCCTCCTCCCCTTCATCTCCGAGGCTGGCCCCCAATCTCCTTTCCCCTCCCCCCCCGTGGTCTGCAGCCAGGTTGTTTCTCCAACCGCCGTGCAGCTCTCACTGCCAGCACTCCTATCAGACCCCAGTCATAATGATTCAATCACTCAAGCACGCTTCTCCACCAGTCAACTTTGTGCCTTTTTATTCTGTGTGCTTGTGTGCATGATTCATATTGAAATTTTGTGTTTTTCATTACCCGTTTGGTTATTTGGTGAACAAGCAAAGTCTTGGCCCTGTCATACTTGCTGCTTTTTCCCCGGGCAAGGGTGGGCTCCGATGTTTGATGCGTTTGACTCGGCGGATCAATCCCGGGCCGGACTGACATCAGCGGCAGCACCGCAAAGCAACAGCTTGAGGGAAAGAGAGAGGGGGTGTGTGTGAGAGAGAGAGAAGTAAGCGTGTTAGCTGCTGCTGCTGCTGCTGCTGCTGTCCGCCTTCTTCTTGAAAGCGCGAACCCGCGGATCAATCCGAATCCCTTCCCTCGTGACAGTTGATTTCCGGCAAATCATTGACTTGATTTGCCCTTTTCGTGTTGCGCTGCATTGGAAACTTCTCCCTTCCCCCGGAGAATAATCGCTGCTAAAGGTAATTAACCTTGTTTCAAACCACGAGGCAGCGGCGGCGTGTTGTTGTTTTCTGTTTCTGCCCTTCGCTGCGATCGCGACCCGCACACCGCGACTGTGATCCCTCTCTCTCTCTCATCCTCTGGGGAAACGCAAAGCAAACCTGGAAATTCTATCCTGTTAAGTTGATCTGTACCTGAACTACTATTTTCGCTGTCATTGTCATTTGTCCTAATTCGCCAAGTCCCCTTTGATCCGCGATCGTGTCATGCTTGATTTCTGTTGTGTTTCACTTGCTGCTACCTTTCTTCCCCCTCCCTCCCCGCCCGTTACGATCCAATCACCACGCGTCAATCCCTGCCTGCCATCGTCTTGGATCTGATATCTCTAACATTATCACCTTTAGCTAGACGCGAATCATATTTCCGTCATCGCGAACTGAAATCCTTGAGTTCAGTTCACACGTGTTTTTGATAAGGACACGCGAAAAGCAGACCACTGCCCTTGTCTCGGCTCACGAGTGCGTTGCAATTAACAAGGTATGTCACCGGCTGCATCATGATTCCGCTTGCCAACGCATACATCCTTCAGCCCTGAATGGACGAAGACGCCACGGTTTTGCCTTCCCCTCCCCTCTCCCCACCCCCTTCCACCCTGACGCTTTTACCCTGGATGACAGCACACAAATCAAGAAGCCGAAATCTTGGTTTGTGGAGATGATCGATGCTAATTGTGTGCTGTAGCTGAGAAAGCCGTGCAAGCCCCCCTTCAGGCGCATCCTGACATCAGCGCGTCCCACGCCGCATTATAGTTCCGGGGACCCGTGGACTAGCCTTAGCCCGCACTACCGGGTCGCGACTGAGAAGCTGACCACGCTGCTAGCACCGCCTCAAGACGGACGTGGCCAAGCAGGCAGTCCGACTGACTGACTCTGGGAACTGCGCAGCCAGTTGTCGTCTTATTATACTGCGTAGCATTTATTTTTCCGTTTATTTTTTTGTCTCTGTTGTGCTGGAGATATACCTCTGCGCTATCACCGAAGCGATTGCGCTTTGTCTGACAACGCATCAAGTGCAACATTTTATCGAGGACACCCTGGTTCGCTGCATCGAAGCCCAACCACGTTACACTCGGAGGAGAACGTAAAAAAGATTTCCACAAAAGACACTGAACCGCCGGAGAAAGTCACTTGGAGAAATTTGGACAAACAAGCGTTCAACCTTGCCCAGTCACTCTTGTCGACGTCTCGAGTGTATTGGCAAAACAAAAGCGGAGGTACGCGCCCAGGTGCAAGCGCCTTTCTCTTCCCCCATCCACCCCACTCACTCCGAATCCAGTGACCGGCTGGTGCTGCGCTTCATGCTGACACTATAACAAGAATCCGCAGACCTTCCGCATTTAACTCGTCGAATCATCAGTCACGACCACAGACTATTTGCGGCCGCCTTTATTTTTCTGTGCACGACCGTAATCTTCTCCAAGTGCAACTGTTGCTTCACGACCTATCATTGTCCCTTGATCATTACCAACCTGGTCTCCGACAACTGAGCTCCTGTCAACCGTCTCGTCTTTGTAGTATCATTGGTTCTGACTAGCTGGTTCCTGACAGCCAGGGCGCTCGATCAATCCTCATTGATTGGAAGCGCGACAAGCTCGTCGCGACTTCACGATGGAATATCCTCCGCAATATCAACAGCCCCACGGGCAGCATCCCCATGCCCCGTCTCACATCGCTGCCCCTTACCAGACAGCGCCCCCGAATGCAGGTCCCGCTGTAGGGTCAATGACTTCTCCCACTAACCCCCAGGCACACATGCAACAAGCTCATCCTACACACCAGGCCTCCCCAATCGTTCCCTCACAGTCTCACTACCAGCAACCGCAAAATGCTCCTGGATCAGTACATCAGCAGATGAACTTTCCCCAATCGTACGGCGTCGCAGCTGCGATGCCACAAACGTATGGAATTTCACCCACCCAGGCGGCTGCCATGGCGACGGCTGCAGCATCGGGCCCATTCTATCCCATTCATCAAGACTCGATGCCGGGTCAGATGGGACCTGGCCCTCGGGGATCTCCACGCATGGCTGGAGTTCAGGTCAAGAGTGATCGGAACCCTCGTTCCCCCCCTCAAATATCGGGTCAAATGGCCTCGATGGGAGCTCAAGTACCGATGTCCCAGAGTGCACAGTTGCAGCAGCGTCGCATGAGCCATGTGGGCAGTCCTCACGTCCCGAGTGCGCAGCCTGTTCTTAACCACGTTGGCCGACCTTCCGTGCCGCCGGCCATGGTGGCTCCGCCCCAACCTCAAATTCAGCAAAGCCAGGCTTCTCCTGATATGGTTGCCGGTGGCGGGGATGAATCCCCACTGTATGTGAATGCGAAGCAATTTCACCGCATTCTGAAGCGCCGGGTGGCCCGACAGAAGCTGGAGGAGCAATTGCGACTGACCTCAAAGGGACGCAAGCCTTACTTGCACGAGTCGCGCCACAATCATGCCATGCGGCGTCCTAGAGGCCCCGGTGGACGCTTTTTAACAGCCGATGAGGTTGCTGCAATGGAGAAAAAGCAATCAGCCGGCGCCGTGGCTTCTGGGCAGGAGAACATCGACAGCAATGCTACGAAATCAGTGGGAACCACCTCCCCCACAGCGCAGAAGCGCAAGTCGAGCGACGTCAACGATGAAAATGCCAATCCCAAGAAGGTCAAGACTGTCGCCGCGAAAGCGAGCACAAGTGCCGAGGAGAGCGAGAACGAATCTGCTGAGCTGTCTGACGAGGACGGCTGAATATTTTGCCGTTCTAGGCCGCCAGCTCGTGCCCTCTTCTAATCATTATCATGGATTTACGGATAGTTGTTTTTGATTGTTTTCCCTTTTTTTTTCCTCTTTATATTACAACCCCTTCGCTTGAACCACCCAGCGATGTGCACATGTTAACGTTCATACCATTATCTCTGTTGTTGCAATTTTCTTCTTCCATTCTTCCTCACGCCACCTTTCTACTTATGTTTGTTTATATCGTTATGCTGGCACGAAGTATTTTTACCACCACCCCTTACATCTGATGATGTTCAGCCTGTCAGGATTGCATGTGTGAGATGATTATGTTCTGTTATTTTCCTTTTTCTCTCGGGACGGTGCACGGTTTCCGAATTATGAAGGGATTATGTTGTTCATGCCACTGCTGATGCTACATGACCCAGCGTCTTTCCATTGGAGGTCTAAATTCTTACAGTCGATGGCAGCGCTTTATACAGACTGCTATCCAGTCCTATCGACGGGTACCCCAAATGTTATTGACAACTTTGTATTTGCGACCGTCATGGATGGCTTAAAATTTCCTTGACCAAACCTGCTATTTCACTTGATCTTGCCTCGGCGCGGAGTGGTTTTGGGGTCCATGGTTGGTAGTTAAAGAGTGGTCTGTACCTGGTAAAGCGCGAGCTGGTTGGAAGAGTGTCAACAGTGGTGATCTGACTGTTGTCAATTGGGACGCTGCGTCCAGACTCTCGTGTCCGACTTAAGCCAGACCCAGGGTTCCTTCACCCAGGTCTTTCCCACGAACTCGATTCGTTGTCCTTCATCCATGGCCAGCTGATGGTTCGACCAATTCTGGTATTTGATCCGGCTTGTGATTTTCGACGGATGATTCCCATGCTAGTTATGTACAAATATGCTAGTTACCAGTTTTACCAGTTTTATCTCGATATTTCTGTCAGTTCCAAATCGGATACTGTTTGATCTCTGGATATCCAGGACGCGAGAGCTAGAGAGCTAGAACGTGAGAGACGTCACTGCTTTCTGAATATGATTTAGAGTACTTATAGACGGAGCTTGAAATTTGAGTTGAATTATGAGTAAAGAGGCATTTCGAGGGAAGCATTTTGAGTGATCGAACTTGATATCTATCTATAAGTATCTTATCTTGGACTCGGGGGCTTCGTTTCTATTTTAAAGTGGCGCGCGCTGTCACAGGCCACCGGCCTCAGGCCTCAGACAAACTAGTCCGAATGCGGATTAGTGGTAATTCATCCTCTGGGCTTCCAGCCTCATCTTTCTCCATCGTTCTCCCTCCCCTTCTTTCCTCTTTCCTTTCCTCTCCAGCTTTCCTCTCCCTCCCCCCCCCACACCGATTGATCCGCACCACTATTCAGCTCTGTTGCGAGTTTGCTTATCTCGTTCCATCTGATCTTCTCATCGGGTTGGACGTCTGTTGCGCCAATTCGCTCTCTCAAGTGGACTATCCAGACCTCTCCGTTCCAAGGCTTCTCGTGTAGGTTGCCTGCCTTGCCTTATTACTCTCTTATCGTGCTCAGTCTATCCTCTTCCGTATCGCCTTTGTCTTTCATCTCCTCCCCCCCCCCCCCCCCTCCACAAATACCCTGCGCTCATTCTCATCAATCTCTCAATCAAAATTCATCGAGTTTCGATCAAGCCAATTATCTTCACTTGTGCCTGCGATTTTCCTTCTTTCAAAGCTTTACTTCCTCATCGTCGCGTCGCGCCGTGATCGGCCCTCGAGACCATCATCTGTGCTCTTGTCCATATTGTGCTCCCATTTCCTCCAATCGTTGTCTGGCTCGCGTGAGCGCCCTGCTTATTTCTCTCTCTTCTCTGGCTCGCTCTTGTCTCTTTTACAAAGAAAAACAATGCCTCTTCCTCGTCCCCTGGCCATTTTAGGGCCTACAGCCTCGTCCTCATCCTTTCATTTCCCACCTTGTCCCTTCAAACCATCATCATTGTCCCGCCCTTGAGACACTCTTACAAGTGAAGGACGTACTCTAATCCGATGATGTCGCATCTTAGCTTATCCATTGTCCCTCCCACTTTTGGGTCAACTCGCGACCTGTTCTGCCAGTCTCACCACCCGGACCATTCACCCGAAGTGACTTCCAGTCTCGGACTGTCCGATATTCCCTTCAGGGTATCGCTGTGATGGATGCATATGACACTTTCGGCTCTCCCGGGAGAAGCCGTGATGGCGGCGATCCTTACGCCACCCGTGCACCAGTCGATTCGTATCGCCGCAGATCGCCTGGTAAGTGGAAAGATTCTGGTCGTCTGTTTAGTCACGGCCTACTGATAACATCTTGAACTTATTAGTGTCTCAAGACCGCCGTCGGGGTCGCGGCCGCTCTCGTTCGCCTGCCATGATCGATCGCTATGAACCGGTCGACCGTCGTGCTCCACGAGACGATTATTACGGCGCGTCCCGCGAGCATGCCGCGCGTGAGCGTGACGACCGTCGTTCTGCGCCTTCGCCCAATGTCGCCAACATCGATCGCTATGTCCCGGGGCAGGATTCCGGCAAGCGCCCGATTCCCACAAATCCTCTGCCTAACCCTCTCAACCTGGACTTCCAAGTTGGATTCAATTGGTTTGCAGAATGGTGGAGGGCGGAGCAGGCAATCAAGGAAGAGAAGGAACGCGCTAAGCACGGTGGCAGACGCCCATCGGATCGCGTCAAAGGAGAACGCGAGGCTCGCGAAGACAGAGACAGAGAAAGGGCACAAATCCAAGCTGCTTACGACGCCTACAAAGTTGACCTTCAAGCCAAGATGGCCCGCACTTTCGTCCAACATCATCGCAACGAGGAATGGTTCAAAGAGCGATATGTCCCGGAAGTGCGAGAGCCTCTCCGTCGCCGATTGATGGACTTCCGCATGAGCGCTTATGAGCAATGGGAGAACGATCTTGAAACCGGCATCTTCGATGAGTTCACTTTGGAAGGTATCTACAAGAGCGAGAGCGACGGAGCCGGCGGTGTAATCGAGAAAGAAGAGGGCGAAACAACTGCTGTTGGCGAGACGTTGGGTGTCTTGGATTTGCTCCCAGCCAGAGGCGGCGACCTACGGGATGAGGCGTTATCCCAGTCAGCCTTACTGATCAAGACCTTGGCTCCTAATGTGAGTCGTGCCAAAATCGAAGAATTTTGCAAGGAGCACCTTGGGGAATCAGATGGAGGTTTCAAATGGCTCAGTCTAAGTGACCCTAATCCTTCCAAAAAGTATCATCGGATGGGTTGGATCATGCTTCACCCAGCTCCCGATGTTCCCATCGTTGAAAGAGGCGATGGGCGCGAAGAAGAAGGTGAAGAGATGGATCAGGATAGCAACTCCAACGGAAACGTGACCGTGTCGGCCGCTGAGAAAGCCCTCGAAGCTATTAATGACAAAACAATCCACGACGAAGTTCACGGTGATTTTGTCTGCCATGTCGGTGTACATGTGCCCCCATCGCAACCCCGCAAGAAGGCTTTGTGGGACCTGTTCTCATCCCCCGAGCGCATCTCTCGTGATTTGGAGCTGGCCAGGAGATTGGTTTCTAGATTGGACGCGGAGATGGGGGCTCATGCGGATGGATTCACCCGGATTGAGGAGAGAGTCGAAGATCTGCGCGGCAAGGGATGGCTACAGCCCCCTGTGACTGGCCCCGTTAGCGTTAAGAAGAGGAAGTCCGATTACGATGCTGATGATATCGATGAGGGCGAGGCCGAAGAAGGAGAGGAGCGGGAGGGATGGGAAGATGACGACGTGGATGACGAGGAACTTCTGGCCAAGAAGAAGAAATTGGATTTGATGGTGGAGTACCTTCGAAGAGTCTACAATTTCTGCTTCTTCTGTGTCTTTGAATGCGACTCAGTCCACGAGCTTGCCCGGAAATGTCCAGGTGGACATCTTCGTCGCCCACGTGCTGGTCTGACAACACAGTCCAAAGCTGTCGCTCGAGCTAGTGCACTGGGGCAGCCGTTCCCCGTCAAAAAGAAAGAGCCAAGCGAGGAGGGCGAGGAACAGCCGCCCGCTGTGGAGGAAAGACGGTCTCAACGATACAGCTCCAAGTCCGAACAACAGCTTCAGCGAGCCTTTAACTGGGTTAGGACCTTTGAAGACAAGCTCCTGCAAATCCTTGAGCCTGAAAATGTGGACATTGCGAAGTTAGGCGGCAAGCCAGTTGACGAGGCTCTGGAGGAGGAGCTGAGCAAGTTCATGAAGCAAGAGGACGAGTCAAAGTACCGATGCAAGGTTCCTGAGTGCACGAAGCTGTTCAAAGCGGATCATTTCTGGCGTAAGCACGTCGAGAAGCGTCACACTGAGTGGTATGAGAACATTCGCAGCGACGTAAGTGCTTCTATTCCCCGTGGGTTAAGGTGTTGCTAACAAGTCATAGCTTGCTTTGGTCAATGCCTACGTGCTGGATCCCGCTCGCATCGCGCCTTCCCGGTCGGATGCCAACAGCAACGGTCATTTCCCCTTGGGCACTGGACAAGGTCAGGCGGGTACTCCCCGCGGGTTCAGCCTGGCATCAATGCCGGCACATTTCGCAGGCAGTAGTGGTGTGCCCCCAGGTTTCCAGGGTCTCCCTGGCTCTGGATTGCCCGGGTTCATGGGTGTCAATAACTCATCCTGGAGCGGAAATGGTATAGTTCCTGGTGATGGCCATGGCTTGCATCAGCCCGGAGTTGTGCGTCGTGGTGGTGGTCGCTACAACAATCGCACCGGACCTTACGATCGCCGAGGTAATCGACATGGTGCACAAGCAGGTGGCATTGGCCGCTTGAGCCCGATCCGTGGTATGTCTAGCATCTATGGAGCGGGAGGGCGTCTGCCGGCCAGTTCTGGAGCCCCATACATTCCTGCTGGCCACCCCGCTGCGGCTGCTATGTTAGGGGGCGGCAATTTCCCCGATGCCAGTGGGGCGCAACAAGGTATGGGTCCGCGCGAGGCTGTTCAAGGCCGCAGTCTGAAGAGCTACGAGGATCTTGATGCCGTTGGCGGTGCCGGCAGTGGGGAGTTGAATTACTGAGGAAATTAGCCCACCTTGTAACAATTTGGCGTTGGCTTTCTACTGCATTTAAACCTTTCGATTTAGTCTCGGCTTCGTTGCGTCTGTATTGTATTTCTCAAGGGGTTCTTGTCTCTTTTTCTCGCTTTCTTCTCCATTTGCAGGTCAAAAACTGGTTTCGACGCAGCAGGTAGTTTGGGGTTTCAGTTATGGTGGTACAGTTTACTCATCTGGGATCGAAAAACAGTTTCCTAGCATCGGCATTGCTGAGTTGTATCATACTTCCGTCTCTCTCGGGTTGAGCCAATGCTGCTCGATGGTCGTTATCTAATGGAATTGGTATGCGTTCATCTCTCCTCGGACCATTTTTCTATTTTAGTAACATGTAAGTGTGGGTAATTCTTCAACAGCCCAAGTCACGCTTCTGGTCTGAAGCTTTACATGATATCGTCGATTTCTGCTCCGTAGTTCAGGTACTGTTCTATACTTTCCCATCGAGCGACAGCACGAGGCAGGATTGGAATACAGAGAATAGCCCAACTTTCGAATTGTAGTTCTTAGAGAATGCCCTTCCAGCGAGAATCTACTTACGGCAGAAGCCCGGCGAGGCCAATCCGCCGACGCTAAATCCCACTGAACCTTTCAGAGAACCTTTCAGAGGACCTCCCACTGCTATCCCTCTTCCACCCTGCTGCGCCAGCACCCCCAATCCTCCCAGCAAGGTGATTCGGACGAGCATGTCCACCCTCACCCGCCAGATTGTACGAGTCACTCCCACTGCCGCGTGACTCGCCCCTCCTAGTATCATCCCCCTCATCCTGATCGTCAACCCTCCGCTCCTCCAACTCAATGACCACCTCACTCGTCACCTCAATCTGCACGTCCTTCCGAATCCCCATCCCCGTCACCCCCAGCTGCTGCTGACCGCCCCAGGCATGGCGCCCCAGGATCGGCTCCTCCTCGATGGTATCACCACCACCACCACCACCACCAGTGCCATCAGTACTGTAACCCCGACCCTCTTGCAGACCGCTGCGGGGTATTTTAGTGGTATAGTGCTTCGACGAGCGGAAACCGCCACCGTCCCGCGTCTTCCTGGTCGTGTTCTGGTGCCGGGATTTGCTGTTGTGGGCGCCGCCGTCACTGGTGTAATAGGCGAGGCCGTCGTCGTCCTCGTAGACGGCGATCAACATCTTGAAGGAGGAGAGGGTGAGAAGGAGGATGCTGGTGGCGAGGTAGAGTTCTTTTAGGATGGTCGGGGTGGAGGCTTGGAGGGTTGGGTTCGGGGAGTGGAGTTGGGTGAGGAGGGTGCGGTAGTGGATGGTTGTTAGGGGGATGAGGAGGCTACATTGTTTTCACTTGTCAGTGCTGCTTTTGCGAGAAAGGGGGGTTATGGGGGTTGTTTTGGAGTGGAGGATGGATGGATGGGGTGTGGATATGGGCATCGAGTCAGGTTGTGGAGAGAACGTACATTCCCCGGCTGCCAAGGAGGGAGAGAACGGTTAGTTTGCGGGATCGGCGGAGTCGGAGGCTGTAGATTAGTTTGATGGGGTAGATGAATAGGAGGATTTCGAGGAGGATGTCCAGGGCGGTGGTTGCTGTCCAGTGGGGTTGCTGTGGGATATAGGGAGGGTTAGGCTTGGGGAGGTTCGGATTTGAGGGATTTTGGGGTGGGGGATGGGATGAGATGGGATGGGATGATAAAAGCACTGACTAGACTGCGGCATTTGTCGTTGATGTCGGTCCATGGTTGGGTCCTGCTGCAGCGGATCCCGATGAGGATGATTGATACTATTGTCCAGATGATGGACACACCCAAGAGACTGCGTGGGATCCAGCGAGCTGCGTGAGTGGTCAGGTGTTGGTATAGAAGACTGGTGCAGCATTTGGAGAGGCCGAGGACAATGAGGTAGAGCAGGTCGGAGGCGTATGCGCTCTGGCAACCACTCGGGTTCAGTGATGGACCGCATTTTTAAGGGAAATGACAACATGCTATACCTTGTCCATTCTCTCTGTGCTGGATTGGTCGAGGAGTTCGGAGCTCTTTCCCCAGCCTAGGTGCGTTTGGTAGAGAACGACACTTATTTGCGCGATGGCGACTGCCTGTCTTGACGTGTGCTGGCATTAGAGGTGGATCAAAGAATGAACAAACAGAGACACATTCCGTACCACTGCAACCCCCAGAAGATAGTCATCGCTCAATGCCATCGACCGCTGCGTCGTTGCGTAGACGCGCATGGCCAGTGAGCTGAGGACCAGGAAAAGACACACGCTTGCGAAGATGATGATCAGCCCGGTATGGTTGTGGGCATTGTTCTCCGCCAAAGGCGGGGAGATGCCCGGAGGCAAGCTGGTATAGGTCATGAGAATATTACAACCTTAGAAAGAGGAACGCATGAGTAGACGAAGAGGAGGATGCCACGCTGGGGTGGATTCTAGGAAGTCGAGCAAGCATCCTCGTGGGAGCCGACCTCAGGGCAAAATGCCGATACAAATCATGGTAGGTCAAACCTACGACTCCCCCTGGTTAGGCCTGCTGGTCCCCTCAAGCGTTCGAAATTCAGGATGCAGCGTGGCTGAACTGTGGCATAGGCTCGAAGTACTCAGACGATGCATGGATTAGTCTTGGCGGCATCAAAAAGGCAGTTGGCCGAACCCTAAGAAACTAGCACCGGACCGCGATTTTGTGCCGAGGTGGAAAAAGAGCGGTGGTAGTAGATAAGGGAAGGTCGAGACTAATCTTCAGGTGGAGACTGAGAGACAAGTAGGCTAAGCCTATCCCAATCAAGATAAGCATGTTAATCTAGTAGTTTATTGTTGATTAGCGAGTGCAGGGATCAGAAATTGCTCCGCCGGACGGACCGTTGCTAGTTGATATCGAGGCGTGCGCAGGCGAGGTTTTAGTGCCACTAAACTCGTTAGTCCTGCAACACAGTCCTTTGTCTACCTTAACTTGCGTAACCCCGGTACGGAGAACGGTCTCAGGCAAATTTGCATGGCGCTGGCGTGATTTGCCCCTTTCCCTGATTCCTTGTCCGAATTTCTCCCCCGCAGTCTCCGGTCGTCACTGATATGAAATTTCTTTGGGTCGTGACCCCCTCCTTCTGCTCCCTCCATGCCCTCTCCATCCTGAGCTTTCAAGCAACCTGATCCTATGGCCAATCAACAAGATCTGCAACAATACAGCATGAAGGAGCCTGTGGTGACCGGCTTCCAGAGCATGGAGGTCAATGAAGTCAACGATGAGGATGAAGTCAAGGGAACACGTTATGATATGACGGAGATGGATCGCATGGGCAAGGCCCAGCAGTTCAAGGTGAGTGCCATCAGCATCACTTGCAAATTGTCTATTCTTTGCTAAAGAATGCAACTCATAGAGAAACATCCGTCCGCTGGCAGCGCTCAGTTTCTCTGCTGTTTTGCAAGCCACCTGGGAATATATCTTGCTGTAAGAAATCCACGGCCTCAGCTTTGGGCTTCGTTCGAATTCGTGTTCACAGAAAGACAGGTCCAACTATCAAGGTTTGCAGGATGGCGGGCTGGCAGGGATGCTATGGTCATACGTCTGGAGTACCGTGGGTTTCGGCTTCATCATCGTTTCCCTGGCTGAGATGGCATCGATGTAAGGAATCGGAAACCCCGAGCTAATAACCCTTCATGATGAGCTAAATATGTGGTCTTTTAGGGCTCCCACGTCTGGCGGCCAGTACCATTGGGTTTCGGAATTCGCACCGGCCAGGTATCAGAAGTTTCTGAGTTATGTGACCGGTTGGATGTCGGTCCTTGCCTGGCAAGCAGGCACGGCCTCCGGTTCCTACTTGACAGGGTCCATCATACAAGGGTTGATCAGTGTCAGAGACCCTAGCTATGACGCCACGGGTTGGCAGGGCACCCTGTTTGTCTTTGCCATGATCTTGATTGCGTATTACTTCAACGTGTACGCCTCGGGCCTCATGGCCCGCATGCAGAATGTCCTGCTCGCTACACATGTGCTCTGCTGGGTTGTGATCGTGGTATCGCTTTGGGTCCTGGCTCCCCTGCAGTCGGCTGAAGCGGTCTTCACCAAATTCGAGAACTTTGGTGGATTCTCTTCGATGGGGTTGACGGTGATGGTGGGCCAACTCTCCGCGATCTATGGCTGTCTGAGTAAGTGAATATCGCCTGGAAAGGAAGAAGACTGGAGACTGATCCTCTTCACTAGGTTCGGATGCAACGGCCCACATGTCGGAGGAAATCAAGGACGCTGGTCGTTATGTGCCCATTGCAATCACATGGTCATACTTCGCCAATGCAATCCTGGCGTTGATTGTGCTGATTACTATGCTTTTCGCGACTCCTTCCGTCGAGGATGCCCTGAACGACGAGTCAGGCTATCCTCTGATCTATGTCTTCAAGCAGGCAACTGATACGTCTGGAGTCAATGGCTTGATGGCGATTATCTTGATCCCTGTGATTCTCAGCAACATTCTGTTCAACGCCTCCACCGCTCGGCAAACATTCTCTTTTGCTCGTGATCTTGGACTGCCGTTCTCAAAATGGACTGCTAAGGTGGACGAGAAGCGTAAGCTTCCGGTCAATTCGGTGATCCTGACCTGCGTTTTCAGTGCTCTCTTGGCTTTGATCAACATTGGCTCTGAGACCGCTTTCAATGCCGTGGTATCTCTCAATGTAGCCGCGCTCATGTTCTCCTATTCCATCTCGATGAGCTGTCTGATTTGGCGAAAGCTCTACCACCCGGAGAGCCTGCCGCCTGCTCGCTGGGGGCTTGGCCGCTATGGTTTGGCTGTGAATATCATTGGATTGATATATGTTCTCTTCGCGCTGTTCTGGTCATTCTGGCCAAGTGAGCTTCCTGTTGCGGCTGACAACTTCAACTGGAGTGTGGTGATCTTCGCGGCCATTTTCATCCTGAGTTTGGTCATGTATGTGGTCAAGGGAAGAGGGGAGTATGAGGGACCAGTGACGTTGGTCAAGAATGGGGGTCATGACCTGTAGGCTATGAAGACGGATTGGATATAGTTCTTGAAGCCATCTGGGATAAAAATAAAGGAGGCGTGAGAGTTTGTACTGTAGTGTTTAGAGAGTTGTTTGTGAGGTTTGTGAGGTGCACAATGATGATGACTCAGCACGTGCGTGCATGCTCTGTGCGGGTCGGACAACCGACTGCCCCGCTGCGCCGTGGTCTAATCATTCGCTTCTGCGCCTCTCTGATCTCCAATAATACTTCAAGGTTCTTATTGCCTGGACTCTTATCGTTGTTAGGTAGATACAGGTCGATGTCGACTGTGCCTACACAATCTCGACGCGTCTCACAACGCCAGCCTCTAGCATGTCGAGGTGAGTAGAAGTGGCTCTCTCTTGCCGTGGGCCAGTTCATTGGACCTCGCGAATAACTCGTGTCTTTAGAATGTACCAAAAGCAAGCGAAAATGCAGCAAGACCATCCCCTGTACCCGATGCAGTCGACTGAGGCTCAGCTGCTCTCGTGAGATTGTGCAGTTGCAGCGAAGCGCAGCGCGACATGGAGCTGAAGTAGACTTCCTCGACTCACTGGTCGGGGATTTGAACTTGCTTCTTGAATCTACATCCGCTACAGCAAAGCTAGAGCTACCACAGATCATATCAAACGTTCGGAATAGAATTTTTCAGCTTCAAACGGGACTGGAACCTTCACTTGACCCCCAGCCACCTGTGCCCGAACCTCCGCTACCACCCGGACCCAATGAAGCACAGTACCATGCTGAGCCGGTGGAGCCAGCTGGTTCATCATTAGTGACTGCCATCGAGCATTTGGCATGGGGCAGAGACTCTGCCGGATGCTTTCCACATCTGAAATGTGGATGTCAGTATAGCCGACCCGTAGTCCCCAGAGCAATTCCGCGCTCTTCTCAACGTTCATTCGACCTCGGTATGGATGCTTCCAGTGCAGAGAAGCTTATCCGTTTCCACTTATGCCATATGGCTTGGCACCATGACTGCATTCATGCACCCACATTTCTCGAACAGTGTGAGAAGTTTTGGCGTACTGGAGAAACGGATCACGCATTGTGGATGGCTCTTTACCTTTCGGTTCTTGGAGCGACTGTGTTTGCTATGCGCATTAGCAGCCGAGCCAAGGCTGCTGTCGCTATCGACTTAGACATGATGCCTCCAGCGGATCATTTTCTGACGGCTATGCTAGAAGCTCTCTATGCCGGTCACTTTCTCGAGGACATGTCGATATATGCGCTGCAGGCGATTGTCATCTCCACTGAAATTGCCCATAACCTGGGCCGGAGTCAGCTGAACGCCACCCTATTCAAGGCAGCCGTACGTATTGCAGAATGCCTGGGAGTGCATCGAATACGAGAGGCGCGCGGAGCATCTCTGGACACCGAGGAGGCGTGGCTCGAGACCGTACAGCGTGAAGTGGGAAAGCGCGTGTGGTGTCAGATGCTGATTCAAGATCACTTCGCCATCCCCTTCACCAATACCTATAGCATCTCGCCCTCGCAATACTCTACGGGATCTCCGTTGAACGCGGACGACTACGACCTGACCGACATGCCGCAAACAGTCCCAACGGTGAGTAGCTATGTGCGGGCGCTACGGAAGATTGCAGATCTGATGCCATCACTGATCGATGGGCTGGGGTCGATGGGCCAGCCAAAGCCTCTCCGAGAGCAGTATGCTCATGTCCTACTGCTGGACAAACGAATGCGCTCCGTTGTCAAGGGCTTCCCCCACTTCCTGTTACAACCCGATGCTGAGAAAGAACTCGAAATCCCTTGGCTAGGGATCGCACGACGCAGTCTCGCGATCACGGCCGCGGAAAAGATCATCATGATCCACCGCCCATTTTTGTTCCTGTCATTCCACTCTTCTTCGTATCAGCACACCCGACGAACATGTGTTGCCGCTGCACTGACCATTTTACGCGAGCATGAGACCATCATCAACGAGGGCGACTTCTTCGTCTGGACGCACTCCGCTTTCTGCATCACGGCCGCGATCATCCTCTGCTTCGAGGTCAGCGTCGCCTCAAATGATAGCACCGGAGGTCCTGAGACCGATAAATTCCGGCTGGCGATTCTGGCCGCACGTAACCGCCTCGCAGACCAGAAGAGCGATATTCTCGCGCAGAGAGGCGTTGCCCTCATCGATGCAATTTTTGCCTCGGAGGGGAACCTGGACTTGGATTTCTATCGCGCGGTGGCTGATGTGCTCCGATTTGGCCAGACCACACAAGGGAACTCCAGCATTAGCAGCAGCACCACCGCCACCACTACATTACCCATGCCCCCCGACCTTTCCGAACCTTATCGCAGTCCAAGTAACACGGCTACTCCCGACTCTCAGTCCACCTTTGATCCGCACCCGGACAACATGGATTTCGAGACTTGGTTCAACCATATCTTCTACCATCTCAACAGCTCGGCCACATGATTGAATCGCGTGCTTTTCTTTCTGGTGATACACACTCTCCTCACGGACTCGCTACCGCTGACCATGGCCCGACTTGGTTCTCTGAACGTGCTGAGGTGGATTTGCTTGCTTTTCATGCTGAAATCCACGTGCTGGGTTGTCTGGGTAAAGTGAGGCTTGTTGATCTGGCAGGATTGGCTCTAAAAACGGGACGGGGCTGTGTGCCGGTGAAATCTCGCCTTGGGCGCTGCTTCTCGAAAGGCTGTCGGCCCTATATATCTGGTTCAGCCTCTTCCAAGAGACGGAGGGCCTCAGCGGAGCCTGTTACGGTGTCTTGTCTGGACTGTATCGGCACAAGGACTTTGTTCGATGGTGGGTGCCATTTACCCAATCAATGTACTTGACTGCCCCAGTGCTTGGAAATAGACTGTGTCTTTACATTTTACCTGAAATAATAAGACACGAATGAATGCTTGGAAAGGGGGGCGGAGGAGGGTTCAATGCCGCGAAGAGAGGCGGGTCATATCTGGCATCCGACGTTGGAAGAACCATTGCGTGCATGTGCTTATGATATCTTCGAGCTCATATCGAAAACGAAAACTTAATTGATATTGGGTATCGACTGGGAGAAATCTATATACTGGAAGTAGGTGAATAGCCAATGCAGCCAACTACGTCCAAGAAAAGTATTCCCTGGTCAGATCTGCTACAGTACCAGGGGGGGTGAAGCTACGGCATCTCTATGATAACCTCATCACCTCCGTCGCGCCACTGCGCCCCCATGCGCCGGATCCGTCGCTCACTAGCTAGAAACAAGAGCAGGTATATATGCGAGGCAATCTCCCCCCACGCGTAGATTTTGAGCGTCAAGCGCTGCGTTTCTACCGCCGCTGCACCTGGCAGGGAAATGGGGGGTTCGGGGCTCGATCTTTTGGGTTCATGCAGGGATGTTGGCGGCTGCGCATCCTCGAGAATGCACCATACGCCCCAGCCTGCACGACCCTCCTTGTTGATGAAATCGGACAAAAAAGTCCAGAAGCGGGTGAAGAAGGAGACATCCCAGGTTGTACTGGTCTTGGTGCTGACGGAATTGTCATGGGGTACAGTAGGTGACGGCGAGGATGCGGATGGAACGAGAGTCAAGTGGAGGAACCAGTAGCCTCGTTCGAGGGGGTCCAGATCTCGCGTTTGTTTGACGGGGTCATACGTTCGTCCTGAGCGGAGACGCGTGGCTAGCATCGCGAGGGTTGGAGTGATGTGGGTTTTGAAGGGTAATCTGGAGACTGGGGGTAATGGCGGGTGGATCTTGAGGGGCGTCGTTACTAGGGCATTTTTCGTAGAGGGCGTGTCGTGGCAAGGGGCATCAAGTGCTGAAGAGAGATTAGAGACGGATGGGGTGGATTGTGCGTGCTCATGCCACGGCTGATAATAACTTGGTTCGTTTTGAGTTCCGGGCAGAGGCTCGTCATCTCCCTGTTTTTCGGGTATACCAGGCGGACTGACCCGATTCCGCTTCGCTGGAGGAACGTCTGTTACAGGTGGCAGATTATATTTGCGACGCGATACAGATACAGGAGGCGTTGTCTCCTGCGGGGCGTGATCGGGCTGTGGTCGCACGGGCGGAGCGTCATGTCGGACGCGGTCCGGAGAGCTGGTATACTCTTTTCTCTCCGGTATTGGAGGTTTTACCCCGCTTCGCTTCGCTGTATGTACATCGGTTGTAGGTGGCGATGATCTGTGAGCGCGTACGGTGGCAGTGACAGGAGAATTGATCTCTTGCGAGGCGAGGATATCCTGCTGAGTTTGTTCGGGTTGCGAGTCTGGAACCACACTAATGGGGGTTCCGAGAGAGTCGGCGACGTGCTGAGTTTGCTGGCCAGGTGAAAAGACCCCGGCCAAGACTGGTATTGTTTCTGGTTGCCGATGAGGTATATGCAAAGAGCCAGTGTTAAGCTCTCGATCATCATCGTCAGCCTCAACACTATTGGTGTTCGCGGTCGATCTTACTGCCGCCGATGAGGCGGCCAGTTGTGCGCTGTCGGCAGTGTTCACTTCATCGGTATGGTCATTGTCCGATCGCAAGGTGATCACTTGGCGGGTGGAGGCCTGGAATGCGAGGATGGCCTCGACTTGAGCCCGATAGCGTGCATCGTCACGGACGGTCCCGGGCGCGGAGATGTGAATGAGGATTTCGGAGTCGGGCATGGCATCGGGGAGGTAATGGACAAAATCCCTGCGCGCACATGGTGGATCTCGCTTTGACTTTCAATCCCTAAACCTTCTTGTCTGGTCAAGGTGAAGGGGCTGTGGATGGGAACGAAGCTGAAAGAGAAGGAGGGGAGGGGCAAAGGTCAAAGGTCCAAGGCCGAGCGGAGAAAGAGCTGAGTCTCGCCGCCTGCCCGTCTGGGCCAGATTGTTAGCCTTAGGCCGCTGATCACCTTTCAATAGTTCCGCCGCATGCGCATCTCCAAGTTTCCTTCAAGTTCTCAAAATCCACTCAACTACACTTGGGTAAGATAGACAATCCCGGGATCCAGGACAGCTTGGGCGGTATTGTCTCGGCTTTTGCTTTCGGTCCGGCAGACCACTCAACTAACTCCATTGAGTGACCATCTACCGACGATCGTCATTGTTGTTTGCCGATTGTTCAGCCTTGAGCTTTGGAGACTGCCTCAAGGCCACTTCTACGCTCACAAATCCTATTCAGTGATTTCGTCACCCTCGCTGACTGTCATAGAAGGTTTACCTGCCACACATAGTCCACAACTAGTCTATGAATGCGATCTGCGACCGGAACGTGTTGCTGAATGGTTGCTGGAACAATTACATTCGTTGCTACTTGCACTACTCAGTAATCTTCTGATGAGATTGTGCAGAAGCGATGCCGCCCTAAATGCAATTTCGAATCAAAAGTGATTCGAACTATCTGGCTTTCGCAAGGCGCCTTGACGATTAGCTTCGATCACCGCACGGTCCGGGATCATTCAGGCTTCAGAATGCGAGCATACGTGAACACAACCGGCGCTAATAGAAGGCGCTCATCTCCTGATCTACCGAATCAATCAAATTGGACGAAGTTAGCAAGTGACAGATGTGAATGCACCAGTATTGCGGCAGCCACAGATACGTGACACAACAGCTGCCCCCATTGGTCCGTACGGACAAACCATCCATGAACCGCGATGTACCTGAAAAGGCCGGTAGAGGAGAGTTTTCGGTGGATATGGGCTTGACTCGGATCCAATAATGGCGCAGCTCTGCCGGAGCGTTGGGAATCGTACCATAACAATCAAACAAAGGGTGCGGTTCCTGCCACTAATGGAGCGCAACGGATACTAGCACGGTAGCACCACTTTGGACCGGGGCCACTAGATTGATTAGACTGAGGGCTTTCTTTTTGCACGGTGGAGCTGATGGGTCTGAACTGATAAAGGTAAACAATTCGGAGTGGAGAGAGACAATGGAAGAGTGGGAATATGGAACAGAGTCAAGAGTAGTATGAGAATTACCGGTCAGTCTAAGGAAAGAGAAAGAGGAAAAGAGGGCGTGGCAGAGACTGCGCTCAACAAAAGGTCCTAGGCAATAAATTATTGGCGACGCGTTGATGTTGCACAGGCGTCCCGGAATTTCAGAGATGTCAAGCCGGCTGCGTCCCCGAGTGACAAGCGAGGCAGGCAGACAGGCAGGCAGGCGTTCCACAGCAGACGACAGGTGGGCTGTAGCACCGGCTCAGGGACGATCGATCCAACCAACAAACCCGACTGCGACGCTGGAAAGAAGAAGATCAATCCAATTGTTACGTGTTGACATGAGCTAGAAGAGTATCTTTGCAAGTTGCAACCGTACTCCGTACCTACAGGTACTGTACTCCTAGAGCTATTGCCGCCTTTCATCTTGAAAGCTGAACAATTGCTGGGCCGTTGCGGTCGGTTAGAGATGGTGGTGGTGGCAGCCTCGGCGGGTGGTGTCTGTCTAGCCGCCTATCGACGATGACCAGTTGCCCGTTTTTTTCCCTCTCCCCTTGGCCGATCGAATCCACTTTCCTGCTCCACTTGGCGTCTTGCTTTTCGTACGATGTACAGTACGAATACTGAGCTGCAGGAGAGTTGAAGGAAAGAGTGAATAAAGGCTCTAACCAGATTTAGCAGTCGAATCACAACGCCCGCGGGCTGGCACTGGGCACTCACAGACCTTGACGGGTGGAAATGCCGAGACAAGATCGGATCTGGTGTGCTGCGGAGGATTCCTTCAAGTAGACCTATAATGTCAATTGCTATTGCCCGCTGGATTGATCAGATCGAAGGGCAGAAAGTGATGCACAGTTATGTACGGAGTACGAAGTACGAGTATGTATGTACAAAATCAGTTGGCCTGAGCTCCTTAGGCTATAAGTTGGCAGCTAGGTAGTAACTACGGAGTACCTAGTCCGGTATTATCCTCCATCTTTCCAATGGTCCCCGGCACTTCCCCGACAGAACATGCATGGATTTGAAGGCGGCGTGGGGGACAGCCTAGGTAAGAAGAAGAAGAAGAGCTTATGAGTGAGACCTTTCATATCCCGAGTCCACCTTTTATCATCAGCAGTGATTCCTTGTTCCTTCTCTAAGTCTTGATTGTAGTGAGAACCAATCACTCTGCTTGAGATTCATGTCCGTCCAGTCCAGGCCAGGTCAATTCCAGTCTGGAGCTCTGTCACTCTTGCCACTGCTAACTAACTACCTAGTAACTTAGTAGTTATCCATTATCCGATCCCTCCCCTCCCCCTCCTCTCACTCTTTCTCACACACACTCTCTCTCCCTCACTCTCTCCTCCCATCCTCTAATTCTTCACATTCATTCCTCCTTTACCGGTCTTACAGACAAAAATTGTTTTCCTCACCTCATCTGCCCTTTAGCCATACTGATTGGGTGCTCGTGGTGATTGCTCATCCATACTTCGCAATCCCGGGGATTCACCCAACGGGAAAACACAGCCGACTGTCCATCCATCGGTAGGTACAATGGATCCAATTCCATGCGTG